GTTGGTTGGCACCTTAGGGCATTCAACTAACTTTCATGTTTATTGTTTGGTTAACTTCCTACCTTCCCAACCCTTCCCCGTCCTGACCGTGCAGCATGCATGTACTCCATAATCAGTTCCGTGCTGATTTCTGAATGCCTTAAAAATGGTAACGGGGGTATAAGTACGATTTCTTGAAATCTCGCATTTCAGGAGTCCATGACCACGGGCTCCTGTCCATTTTTACTTGTACTGTAACCTCGGCAACCACTGTAACAATATGTAATAATGTGAAGTTGATTGGGAAGCCCCGCGGAAAAGATTTCCCTCCGTTAAGATTATAATAACCAGCTAAAGCGGATTTCGTTTGAACTAACAATAGTGGCTTCCCTGTTCGAAGCCATTGGCAAGGAACTCTTTGGAAATTTGTTTCTTAATTGTGTCTTCTTTCTTTATGACAGATGGCTACTCAACTGGAAACGTTCAACGCAGAAGTGAGTTTAACACAAATTTCTATCGACGTTACCAGGCAAAATGTCATAGGTGTAACAAAATGATATCAATATATACGACCACTCAAGAATTATATAATTAAGTGCGGCGAATTGCTTTTTCAAAACTTCGCTCAAAAGACAACAGTTTGTTGTTTAATAGAAATCGTTTTTCTTTCACATTTGGCCAACAACCTTGCCGAATTAAATTTTTTTGTAAATTTAAGGACTACACCCCTACGACGCAAGGCCTGCTTGCGTAGTTTAAATTTCAAATATTCTTAATACTGCCTTAACGTATTTTTGTGAGTTAAATAAAACTGACTTGAAATTGACTTGACTTGGTCCATAAAATTCGAACTCGGCCAATATTTCAGAGGACTCATTCGTTTCTAATATTAATAAACCATCGGGAAAAGCTGTGGGAGTTGGGAATTACGTTCATTCACCATGCGTGCATGTTCTATTTCACTTTTGTTTTCTAAAAGGTACCTGTAGGGCTCACTAATCATGCCACTGTAGCTCAAAACGTAAATTGCGCAGGATATAATGAGACTATATATTGAGAAAACATAAGTATTCTTTAACGTCGGCTGGGTAAGTTCATTAACCATGAGTTGCACGTTCCATGTCGCTTTCTGCCACTGTAGTTAAGTGCGCAAATTGTGCTGGATGTAACGAAACTATGAACCGTAAGAGAATACATAAAACCGTATTCCTTAACGGTGGATGTGTTTATTTACGACAGATTACAGCACGGGTGAATGAAGTGAAAACTTAAGTAAGTCTTTTTTCATCATAACACCTCGTCACTGTCTCGTAGACAAACTTTAGCACGTACAAAACATATCTTCGCAACCTTTGAGCATTAGTTAGTTTCTCTTGATAGTTCACGAAGTTCTATCAATTTTCACTTTGTCACTCCCCATATTTCGCCTTAGCTTTTTATACACCCCAAAAAACCAATGTTGTAAACATAATTAGACTAACACGTTCCCTCTATATCCATTTTTTTTTTTAATGGTTAGAGACTAATAGTAAAAGAAATAGGAAAACTATTTAAGAAAGGAAAATGTGAACGTGTGTTTCTTTATGGCAGGTTACAGAAGAGCTGGATAACGTGAAAACCAAAGTAAGTATTGTGCTCAGTTGATGAAGTACTTTGTTACTGTTAATTGCCAGTGCTACTAAAATGCCTCACTGGTTGACACGCAGTGCGAGATACGGGAGGCATTGAACCAAATCTTCTGTTTCAAGGTCATTCTCATAAATAGAGACATTTTTGGTGAATCAAAAACTTGATTGTGTCCCATCATTTTACAGCTTCAAGAGATTGAAAGAGAGATTTTGACTGTAGGAAGCACTAACTCTTCAGTTCAAAATCAGGTACATATCAAAACTAAATATTGTTGCATAGTGAAAACATGTGGCTTATATGGTGCACTTATGTCGGTAGACAGTCTACTGAGTTTTAACGCTTTTTTTTTTTTCTCTGTAGGACTTAAATACTGCAAATGTCTTGCTCGCGATACAGAATTCTTCCAAAAGAATTGACAACTTATCAGCTCTTTGGCTAGCACTGAATGGTAGTGTTAATGCACAGATGATTGACGTTGAACAAAAAATTCTACAGCTGGATCAAGAGGTAATTGGGGGAAAGCACAAAGCATAGAACGCAACAGCAATCAAAACTTACTTTAATGATATCCAATGTTCAAAAGCGAAGTAATCCAGGACCATTAAAACGTATCAACATGCTGCATCTTCAAAGCCACAAGGGCGTGGAGCATGAAACAAATCTTAACTATTATTATTCATTCCTGGCTAGCTGCGGCATACATATCTCAACAGATCTCATCAAAACCCAATTGTTTCTGCATAATCTCTTGCTCTGCGTTTAACGTTCTTTAAGACACCTTCCTTGATCTAGCGGAATTGAGAAGTAAAGTGGAATCTCGCCCTAATGCAAACCTGTTAATACAGCCACCTCGTTATTAGGGCCACTTTATTCTG